ACTGACCAAATGGGGACACCCACCTTGCAAGAATGTTCAGGCAAAGTGGACTCAACAGGAGAAGCTGACCCTGAGAAAACAGTCAAGTGGGCACCACAAGAGCCTGAACAGTGGACCTCCCAGCAGAGAAGAGAGCACCTGCCCAGGGACTTTAGGGCCACACTTTACCTGAGAGTCACCATTATCTCCCAGGAAATACTTATAGAAGCTGTGTTAAGCCCCCTGGTTCTTTCCCTGCCTCAACTGTTCTTCTCGTAAAGAGTCTTCTCAGCTTCACCCACCATCTAAAAGTGATGCTAAGAACCATCTTCTATTTTTTCAGTCATTTACCTCAGGGACAAGGCACCTCATCTGAGGGTATGCCCTGAACACTATTCAGCCGCATTAAAATCAGCTCCTGAACAATGAAATAGTTACACCAAGCCATTAACCGCTGTGTGGCTCAGCACTCACCCAGGGCTGCTTTGCTACACTCTGCCAGTTAAGTGCTATTTATGGTCTTTAGTTCCTTAAGGACATACCTTCATCCTACAGACACTGGTGGTGCTGCTGGACTCCACCACCCTATGGGGTGCATTTGGTCCTGCTGTCTACTGGACTCACATCTCCACCACAGACACAGGACCTTGCAAAGGGCACACAAGCCATAATGTTTGGGGATCATGTATCCATGAAAAGAAAGGCTTCTTTATTGACAGTACATTTCTCTCACACATTTGAAGAAACCAAGAGGATTCATATATATATATATATATATATATATATATATATATATATATAGTTAATGAAAACAACTAAAAAGAAAGATAGCAATTATTGTTATCCTTATGTCTATTCCTGTACTCCATTTAATTTGCAAATTTATTACACATTTTCAAGAAAATTACTACTCTAATACTATGGTATATTCTTCAAAACAAAGTGAAAGATATTGATGTTAATCTGAGGAAATAACAAAGACTTACATTTGGAAGGGAAGAGCAAGCTTCCTGTATAATTAATATTATACAAAATCATGCTCACCTAAATGTTACAACCAACCATCCATATCACAAATATGAAAATAGACATGTCATCAAAATCACTGTGAAAATAACATATGCAGGCTATGACAAACTTGCAGAAGAGGAAAGACTTAAAACTATACAGAACACAAAATTCCATTTCCAAGTAACACGAAAAATATAGACGTAGATATGATAGGAATGGGGCATATGACTGCTCATGTAGCTCTCAAATAATACCAGAAACACAAACTGAAGTGATCCATTTCACATGGGGTAGGAAGCAAGACAGTGATGTGATGGAGAACACACCCTGTCGCTGGCTGGCAGCTAGCTCCTTCTTTGGACCTGGGCAGACTCTTGCTACTTCTTCTTCTCCTTTTTTTGATATTCTTTTAGGGAAGGGTCTACAGGGTGTTCAGGTCTCACTACTAGATCGTACTCATAGTGGTCCACCTGTTTACAGCCTCCGAGGAGCTGCAATTACAGGCATGTGACACACACCCAGTCTCAATTGCTCTCAGTATTCCCTGGGGGCGGGGCCGGCATGGCAGGCACAGGGATTGAACCCCCGGCCCTTGCACCTGCTTGCAGGTGTTTTAATCTGCTGTGCTATTTGGCCGGCCCAGTCTCTTGCTTCTCTCTCAAAGCCTCATCATACAGACGTGTGTAGGACTTGGGATCTCTCTTATTAACCTTCGCCAAATGCTCCAGCACTTTCATCTTGCTGGTTTCAGTATGAGTCCTAGGACCCCACAGGAACTCATACTGAGCAGGATCACTGTTAGGAACCTGCTGGTACACCAGGTACTTTGCCCGTACCAACTCCTCTCTGATAAATTTCCAGGGGTCTGCAATCTCAAAGCACTTCCTCTGAGGTAATGTTTCCCTTATTCTCAGGAATTCCTTTAAATCCTCCTCACTGATACGGTTACCCTTCAAGAAGATGACAATGAGGAGGACTACCAGGAGGTTTATTTTAGAAATGCTCTGGCAATCATCACCCAGTATCCCATGAAAATTGAGACCTAACACAGGAAGAAGAGCATAAACTTTGCTACTGGTCTTTAATTCCTGCACTTCAATGCCAAAGGCCAGACACATGCACTCACAGATTATCTTGAATAATGGTGTGAAGTGCTTGCGGTAAGAGGGATCCACATTGTGCTGCATTTCTCCCTTGGTGATCAACTCGTTTATCTGATACCTGCGGAGCAGGATAGGCAACAACTTAGTTAATTTCTTATCTTGGTACAGAGGGCATAGCAACTGAAGGCTAAGTATGTCTGGGGAGGACCATAGATCCTCCTCTTGACAGATGCAGCCCTCAGTGGATTGGCTGCTCTTACTGCAGGCCATGGTAGTGCTGGAGAGGAGACACCCTGAGGATTCTGGGGTAACTTATTTCCCTAGCCCAACACACTTCCTTTGATGTAGCAGGGCTTTCAATACTAGAGATTGAGGAGTCAGAGGAATAAGTGGGTCACTCTTTCTCTATTACAGGTTTTAACACATGCACATCTGTCAGGCCCTGTTCCCCTCTTTGTACAAGGAGGTTTCCTTCTAGTGGGCAGAGCTGAGTCCTCTGACCATGAAGATGTTCTGAGGATCCAGAAGGACAGCAAACTCTTGGAGATGAGGATTCAGATGCCTGGAAGAGAGAGAGATAGTGTAAGTGCTCTGAGCTGACAAGACGACTTGTCAGCTCCGGGAAAGGCCCATTAGTAGTCTACCTTTTGTGTGATATTTAGAGTCTTGTACTAGAGGCGCTGTCCCCAGGAACTGGGACACTCAGTGAGGGCCCCTTACCTTAACTCCTTGGCCTCCTCTGCTGTGTGAACTTTGGACTCCGCCTCACACTCAGACTTTCAGCTCCTGTTTCATAGAGCTCCTGTAAGGGATATGGGAGACATTTCAGACTGCAGACCTCAAGCAGAGTCCCTGACTCCCAACTCTCATGGAACAGTTGGGCTGGATCCTGTGAGGTCCCTCCTCTGGGTGAATGGTCCCTTTCTGCTCACTCAATGCCCTCAACTGTCTTGAGCAGGGCCCAAACTCCAGCCCTTTCCTGGCCTGAGGCAAACTCCCAGAAAAAATGTGTCTCCATGTCTGATAGGGAACAAAAGGCAGTAAAAGGGGAAACACACATGTCCAGAGATATTTGGGCAGCAGCTAGATGTGGAAAAATAAATGAGTCCATGTGGTCTGTGAACAGGAGCCTGATCCTTCCTTATTTTGAGAAATGGATAGGTCTCAGATTCTCTCTTGGGTGATCCAGTCCTTCCTTCATGAAACTTCAGCCCTCTGTGTATGAGACATTTAAAGAGAAAGTGAGGGGAAGCCAGTATACCTGTGTTTCCTGGGTCTGACAACTCATGACAAATGAACAAGTTGAGGGTAGGGTAAGGCATGCTCTGTAGAGTGGGTTTCCTAGACCTCACCTGACCCCTCCATAGACCCTGGGATCCTACTTCTGCTGCCTGGATTTTAGCCTCTTTGTCCCAAGGCCTTGAGTTCTGAGACCAATGATTGAGAACTAAGAGAGAAGCCTCACCCTGACAACCTTGCCCAGAATTAGAAGAATAACCAAGGGCTCAGGATAGATGTCTTTGCAGCACTCAGCACGTGTGTTCTTGGCAGCATCATGTTCATTCTTCCTTTAAGTTCCTCAGCTGTCTCTTGGCAGACCCTAAGGGTCATGTCTCCTCATCAGATGGAGTGTCCTGAAGATACCATCTCAAAAAGTGTTCCTCACTTCCCTGAAATCTCTACAGTTCTCAAGAGAAGTGAGCATGTGTCCATCCTGTGACACTTCATGAGGACTTCAGTGATGACGGGATCTGTGATGAACTCTCCAGTGTTCCCTGACACCCCACTTATGATTTAATATAAAATTCACCCTAATGGGCCATGGGATCTTAACCAGCACATTTAGAAGATGAATGCATGATGGGGGCTAACAGCTGATCTGCTCTGAACAGGTTGAGCCTTTGAGGAAGCAGAGTTACTGCATTTGACAGAGAATTCTGTGCCCTTCCTCGCTCCCCGCTTCACAACCTGCTTCATGCAGGATGGTGCATATATAGCTTTCTTCCTATCAGTCCCTAGCCCTCTGCTGTTCTACCTTGGACGTGGCTGTCTAAGGACTGAAACCTCCTTGAATTATGAACCTCATTCACCTCTTCCTCCATGGAACTGCAGATGTCAGGTATGGTGTCTCAGAAATGAGGTCATAATTGAGGTAACACCTACGTACTCCTCTACTTTCTCCAACTTCCTCTTGGCCATGCCTGCATGCATCTCCTTGATGATTCACCACTTCCCACCTTCCAAGTGGCGTTAGAAGTGGTCATGCCACTTAGGGCCTCTGAAGGCTGACTCAGGTCAAGCAAACTTTGTGGGTTTGTTGTTTCCGAAAAGCAGAGACCTTCAGTCTTGCCAAATTAGTTCTCAGTTGCTCCTGGCTCACAAGCAAAGGAAAGTGATTGTATACAATGAAACTGAAATCTTGGGGGTTCAGTAATCCCCAGAGAGAAAAGGTGCTGCTTAATTATACTGGATGTTTGAGTGATCTTCATAGATGTCTGGGAGCTCTGCTTCCACAGAGGTCTTACATAAGCAGCAGTGGAGGGGTCAATTTTGTTCAGGTGTCTCATATCTTTGGAGAGTGAATGGTTCCATTCCGGGAATGTACCGAGTGTTTGAATTGAGGACTGAGAACAGCAACGGGACAAATTTACTTCAGCGTTCCCAGTGTTACATACCCCCAGTGACTGGTTGACAGATAGTCTGAGGAAACATCTCTGGACAGAGGAGAGATGGGAAAGAGACAACATAAAGTGTTAGCGTATAGCTACTAAGAGCACAGGGCCTATCGCTCAAGAAACACCTGGCTCAGCTTAGTTTCCATAGATTTGAAAGTCTCAGCCTTGATTATGCAAGCCCTTGGCTTTCTCGCTGCTTCCAGAGTTGAATCTGGTCTCTGGCTGTCTTCCTTACATTGCAGCATGAGCAGGACATGCCTGGATTTGGATACTGCCATAGTCTGAAAAATGCAGAAACTCCAGCTGCTGAGAACAATGAGAATTGCTAAATTCTAGAATGTGCCATCCCAGAAGGAAACAATTCATTCAATTTCCCAAGTTTTCTCTGTTTTCTTTTTTTTTGAGTACTTCTTCATTACCTCTTATTATCTTTCTCTCCTTTTTCATTTTACCTTTTCCTTATTTTATGTCTCCATATAGTTTTTCTTCTTCCTTTCTTTTCTGTTGGCTTTTATTTCTTCAGTATTTGTAATTTTATCTTTGCCTAATTCTATAAACTCACTTCTAGTGCACAGCAGGATCTTTTGCTCTGCTTTTCTCTCCTCATTCTTATGTCTTCTGGATTAAGATTTAAAATTTTAACTATTTCTTTCTCCCTTTCCCAGGCACTTATATCTTCAACGATATAATGATTAAGGCTTAACAAAAGGGAGTTAACTCAGTGAAATCACCTTCAAAAAGAGGAAAGTGATCGATGATGTAGAGTGTGCCTAAGGAGAGTCACCTGGAGAGGAAATATTCTCTCAGTCTTTCACAGAGAGCACATTGGCCAAGCAATGGCCGTGACTCATCCACATGGCTGACACTGACACAGGATCTACAATCTGAGGTACAGGATCTCAGGATATATCCTGAGGAGATTTCACTGACCTTACCAGACCCAAAAGCTACAACTCTTGTTGCATAGGTCTTGCTTTACCTTGGTTTTAACCATCCAGCAGAAAAGTATAAAGACGAAATATAAGAAGTAAAGCCATGCTGTTATGTTGAGCTGTGGGGGGCTCAGGTCAATAATTTCTGACATTGCCAGTGAAGCAGAAGACCCAATACTATTATGGGCTACTGGACTCTTTTAGAATATTTTGCTGAGTTTACACACCTATAATATTCAAATAACGGAACTTAACAAGAAAAGGGTATACAGATGAATGTCCATTTTGCATCTGTGTATTCAAAGTGGTTAGGATAGATATATAGTTACATTCTCTTAATGAATAGAATGATTTGTTCTAATGGTGTTTGTAAATAGGATATCATGCCTGCATCTTGTACAGCAATTAACCACTAGGAAGAATGTATGCAATGTGTTAATTATTGAAATTGTCCTACCGATTTGATTTGAAACTGTCTCATTGCTATTTGTTTATCAATAAAATTATGGGGAAAAAAAGAATGGATAGAGAAGTTGTATTTTTACACAATGGAGTATTATTCAGCTATAAAACAGGATAAAGAGTCTTTTGTTGGTAAATGGATGCAACTAAAGAATATACTGTGAAATGAAATAAAGCATATCCACATATGCAAAAAAGGTTTTCTAGAAATAAAGTAGCTATAGTTGTGGCTATATGAACTTTTTGTAGCATATCTGAGGTCTTAATATTTACACTGTAATTTGGATTTCTATTACTTGGTTAAAGTGCATCCAATTACTTGTCATTTTCTATTAATGTCCTATTTTTCTCAGATGATAATAGTGTGCCTGATATGCTTGACAATACCCAGGTCACATAATTGATGCCACTGATTATTTTTCTCTGTATTGCAACATGCAGATTACCTCTGCAAAATTAACTGCATTGAGGCGTACACCTAGAGAGCTTGGGGTTGGGCCAGTTACACTGCATCCTCCCCTCCAAAATTAACAGAGGTCATCAGATCTTAGAGAAGAGGTAAAGTACTCAAGTTAGCTATGCTTAACGTGCATTCCTTGAAAAGTAGACTAATTAATTTTTTTTCTCCTAATATCTACTTTGCATGATATTTGATAATATTTGAATATTATCAAATATCCTGCCCAGTATTAGCGGGTCACTGTTTTGTATTATGATGTATTTACAAAATTTCACCATATAATAAGAATTACCTTTAAAAAATTAAGCATGAATACTATCATTCCACTAGGGGAAACTTCTTCAGCATATAAAAAATGCCTTAGTACCAACAAAAGACTACACTAGAACCACCAAATTTTCAGCAAAAAGAGACCAACAAATAAAGAAATACAAATTAGAAACATAAGAATGAAGCATAATGACCTCCGAGTCAATCCAGCAGGCATCAAGGGGGAGAACAGCACAATCTTCCGACCTGAAACTCCAAAGAATACCAAAGGAAGTTAGAAAAGTAATCATAGAGATGCTCTGTGGGATCACAGAAGACATAAAAAATGACCAAAATGATTCAGAAACTTTCAGAAGACACTGATAAAAAGACTCTGAACTAACTAAAATGATAAAAATACCAGCAACAAATTTAGCTGAGTTAAAATCTAGAACAGGTTTTACACATTTTTCAAAAAGGTTTAAAAATCCA